CTCCCTCTCTCCTTCTCCCTCTCTCCTTCTCCCTCTCTCCTTCTCCCTCTCTCCTTCTCCCTCTCTCCTTCTCCCTCTCTCCTTCTCCCTCTCTCTCTCTGCACATTTTCCCGTCAGATGCAAGCAGGAAGTAGGAGGAGAAAATATCGCGAAATCCATCGGAGCGGCAACAAGAGCGAGGTCGGGGCTTATGTACTCAAAAAGGCGCGATGGGCTAAAGAAAAAGAAGAAAACAAAAACAATTGTCACTGTCATAATCACACCGTGACCAGAACAAAAAAACAAAAAACGAAACAAAAAGAACACGCAACAGGAAACGTTGCGATAATGCTCTTTGTTTTTCGGAGAAACGTGTGAGTACTTAATCAGCAAGCTGGAATACAATTTAAAAAAAAACGTCTGCTACGCAAGGGGAACAAATTCAACGGTGTATGATGTTTTGCAGAGTCGCGAACGTATACCCTTAAAAAACAAAACAAAAAAGAAAACAAAAAAAAGTCGTCCGAACTGGCATCAAACGGGTCATATCGGGCCGCGCCCGTTTTCCCATCGCCTCCGTCCGGGGACGTCTTCAGCATCACTCTTGTTCCAATCTCCAGCCCTCCGCGCGACCCTAGCGATAAAAAGACGAAGGCGCCAAAACGCCCACCCTTCTCCTCCTCCCTCCTCCCCGCCCTTCTCTATCTTTCCCCTCACCCTCCTAGAGAGCCATACAATCCGATTCCCCCTTGGCCCAGCTCGCGAGCGCCCGCGAGTCCCCGGGTAGGCCAGCCCGCCGTACAGCTGTGCGCTCCCCGCCCCGGCCGTGGCCTACCCTGCGGGCGCGCTGCGAGCTGCTAGGAGGCAAGAGAACTCTAAAAGTGCAAGAGAAAGGACAACCCCATACTCTAGAGTAGGAATACGCTCCAAAGCGTGTGGAGGACTTTCCGACTCCTGCAGCGCTGCGCTAGCGAGTACAGGACGAAGCGCCTCCTTCTTCTGCAGGGGTTGACCTGACACACATACTCTCGCATTTTCAGGCAATGGTCAACAGTGTGTGAAGCACGAGTCGAGTGTCGGGTTTTGTCGAACTTAACGCAGAGAGATGAAGCGACTTTGTTCATTTTATTTCTTGCACAGAGCGGAACGCTTGAACGCCCGGTCAATTTTGGTGTTTATTAATAGTTTGTCAAATTTAAACTCCGAAACTTGATTTCGTTTCTTAACACAAGGCCCAGCGCAAGGCCACGGCCAAGACCGCGGGAAATGTGAAAACAATAAGGAAAGGCATAGAAACTATGCAGAGATTAAGCCGGGGGAGGGGGAGGGGCGTAGGAAGAGTAATGTCATTCATCACCAAGAAGGGTGAAGAGGTGGTGGAGGTCGTACGAGGGGAGGAAAGGGGGAGGGGGGTAGAGGAGATATACAGCTCGTCCGGCGCTACCCGGAGCCGCGCCCCGCCCTGCCCCGCTCCACCCCGCCCGGCCCAGCCGCAGAACCACCCCGCCACGCCCCGCTTTTGTTTCTGCGAACTGAGCAATAATACCCGGGATGGTTGCCGCCGGTGGGTATGTGCGGAGAGGAAGAGCGGGGAGTGGGGGTGGGAGGCGGGTGGGGGCATATAGAGGTGGTGTGAAAGGGAGGCCAGAAGATCTGCACCAGGTTGAGCAGCTCGTGCGTGCGTGCGCGCGCGCAAAAGCACGGTAACCTTGCTCATCAAAATCAACATGCGTTAAAAAAATGAAAAAAAAATGGACGACATAAATAAAAATTAATTCCTATCAGATGTCCACGCCGCCAGGCCTCCGCCAGGCCCCGAAGCGAGGCGCGCGCAGAAAC